AGGCCTTTGCGCCAGTGTCGTGAGATAGCGACCGAGCTGAGAGGACCACCCCATGCGCACATCCTGTGGTGTATAGAAAGTTGCCACGCCCCTTGCCTAGCCTTTGCGCCAGGTCGTGGATAGCTGCCGAACTGAGAGACCACACCCTGCGCACCCCCTGTGGTGTCGAGAAAGTGCAACGCCTGCTAGGCTTTGCGCCAGTGTCGTGGATAGCGGCCGAACTGAGAGACCACCCCCTGCGCACCCCCTGTGGTGTCGAGAAAGTGCCACGCCTGCTAGGCTTTGCGCCAGTGTCGTGGATAGCGGCCGAACTGAGAGACCACCCCCTGCGCACCCCCTGTGGTGTCGAGAAAGTGCCACGCCTACTAGGCTTTGCGACAGTGTCGTGGATAGCGACCGAGCTGAGAGACCACCCCCTGCGCACCCCCTGTGGTGTCGAGAAAGTGCCACGCTTGCTAGGCTTTGCGCCAGTGTCGTGGCGGCCGAGCTGAGAGACCACCCCCTGCGCACCTCGTGTGGTGTCGAGAAAATGCCACGCCTGCTAGCCTTTTGCGCCAGTGTCGTGGATAGCGGCCGAGCTGAGAGACCCCCCCCTGCGCACCTCGTGTGGTGTCGCGAAAGTGCCAGGCCTGCTAGGCTTTGCGCCAGTGTCGTGGATAGCGGCCGAGCTGAGAGACCACCCCCTGCCCACCCCCTGTGGTGTCGAGAAAGTGCCACGCATGCTAGGCTTTGCGACAGTGTCGTGGATAGCGGCCGAGCTGACAGACCACCCCCTGCGCACCCCCTGTGGTGTCGAGAAAGTGCCACGCTTGCTAGGTTTGCGCCAGTGTCGTGGATAGCGGCCGAGCTGAGAGACCGCCCCCTGCGCACCCCGTGTGGTGTCGAGAAAGTGCCACGCCTGCTAGCCTTTGCGCCAGTGTCGTGGATAGCGGCCGAGCTGAGAGACCACCCCCTGCGCACCCCCTGTGGTGTCGAGAACGTGCCACGCTTCCTAGGCTTTGCGCCAGTGTCGTGGATAGCGGCCGAGCTGAGAGACCACCCCCTGCCCACCCCGTGTGGTGTCGAGAAAGTGCCACGCCTGCTAGGCTTTGCGCCGGTGTCGTGGATAGCGGCCGAGCTGAGAGACCACCCCCTGCGCACCCCCTGTGGTGTCGAGAAAGTGCCACGCCTGCTAGGCTTTGCGCCATGTCGTGGATAGGGCCCTGAGAGACCACCCCCTGCCCACCCCCTGTGGTGTCGAGAAAGTGCCACGCCTGCTAGGCTTTGCGCCAGTGTCGTGGATAGGGACCGCGGTGAGAGACCACCCCCTGCGCACCCCCTGTGGTGTCGAGAAAGTGCCACGCCTGCTAGGCTTTGCGCCAGTGTCGTGGATAGCGGCCGAGCTGAGAGACCACCCCCTGCGCACCCCCTGTGGTGTCGAGAAAGTGCCACGCCTGCTAGGCTTTGCGCCAGTGTCGTGGATAGCGGCCGAGCTGAGAGACCACCCCCTGCGCACCCCCTGTGGTGTCGAGAAGTGCCACGCCTGCTAGGCTTTGCGCGTGCTAGGCTTCCGCGCCAGTTTCGTGGATAGCGGCCGAGCTTAGAAGACCACCCCCCCTGCCCACCTCTCCATTGTGTCTGAGAAGAGTGGCCCCGCCTGCTAGGCTTTTGCGCCAGTGTCGTGGATAGCGGCCGAGCTGAGAGGCCGCCCCCTGCCCACCCCCTGTGGTGTCGAGAAAGTGCCACGCCTGCTAGGCTTTGCGCCAGTGTCGTGGATAGCGGCCGAGCTGAGAGACCACCCCCTGCCGCACCCCCTGTGGTGTCGAGAAAGTGCCACGCCTGCTAGCTTTGCGCCAGTGTCGTGGATAGCGGCCGAGCTGAGAGACCACCCCCTGCGCACCCCCTGTGGTGTCGAGGAGTGCCACGCCTGCTAGGCTTTGCGCCAGTGTCGTGGATAGCGACCGAGCTGAGAGACCACCCCCTGCGCACCCCCTGTGGTGTCGAGAAAGTGCCACGCTGCTAGGCTTTGCGACAATGTCGTGGATAGCGGCCGAGCTGAGACCACCCCCTCCGCACCCCTGTGGTGTCGAGAAAGTGCCACGCCTGCTAGCCTTTGCGCCAGTGTCGTGGATAGCGGCCGAGCTGAGAGACCACCCCCTGCGCACCCCCTGTGGTGTCGAGAAAGTGCCACGCCTGCTAGCCTTTGCGCCAGTGTCGTGGATAGCGGCCGAGCTGAGAGACCACCCCCTGCGCACCCTCTGTGGTGTCGAGAAAGTGCCACGCCTGCTAGGCTTTGCGCCAGTGTCGTGGATAGCGGCCGAGCTGAGAGACCACCCCCTGCCCACCCCCTTTGGTGTCGAGAAAGTGCCACGCCTGCTAGGCTTTGCGCCAGTGTCGTGGATAGCGGCCGAGCTGAGAGACCACCCCCTGCGCACCCCCTTTGGTGTCGAGAGAGTGCCACGCCTGCTAGGCTTTGCGCCAGTGTCGTGGATAGCGGCCGAGCTGAGAGACCAACCCCTGCGCACCCCCCTGTGGTGTCGAGAAAGTGCCACGAACTGTGCTGTGCTGTGCTGAGCTGAGCCGTGCTGGGCTGTGCTGAGCTGTGCTGAGCTGTGCTGTGTGCTGAGCTGAGCTGAGCTGTGTGCTGTGCTGAGCTGAGCTGAGCTGTGCTGTGCTGTGATGTGCTGTGCTGTGCTGAGCTGTGCTGTACGAAGAGTGAGGTGTGTGTCGCGGGTGCGGCGCGGCAGGGAAGAAAACCAGAACCCCACGAAGCATGTGGGGAATAATCAGCCACCGTGCCTCGCCTCAGGGCTCGGAGTGGGTGTGCTTCCATGTCCTTTACCTACAGTCGCGGCGCTGACCTAAGGAACCCTAAATAAGGAACGAAGCCCCTTTTTTCCACAAGTTGAACTTCGATTTCCCATCGAAAACATAAGGAAAAACCTGAGGCAAGCCGTGAAACACTTGAGGAACGCGGAGCCCCTCCCCAACGAAAAGGGTTCCTTCTTCAGGGCCCCGACTGTAATCCTCGGATCCTCCATTCTCAGCCCCGAGGAGTCTATCAGCGGGCCCGGACCCGAACTCCTGCATTCTCCCAGCGCGTCCCGCGTGCCCCGTGAAGCTTTTGCCGCGTGCCCCCCGGCTTCCCCCGCACCCTGTCGCGCGACTTCTTCGGGCCCAGCAGGGCCCCACGACGGGCTCAGAGCTGTGTGGGCCCCGGAAGCGGCAGGGCCGTTTTTTCACCGTTTCCAGAAAAGTGTCCCTTGAAAATGGAACGGAAAGAACTTGAACATGTCCCTGAAAAAGCCTTGAAAATGCTATGCCTTGAAAATGGGCAGGAAAAACATGTCCCTTGAAAATGTCCTTGAAAAAGCGGCGACCGGAAACGGTAACAAAAACGGCTCCAGGATGGGAGCTGGAGCCGGAGCCGGTCAAACAACGACGACGGAACCGGTGACAAAAACGGCGTCGGAACCGGCAAGAAAACCGAAAACCGGAACCGGTAACAAAAACGGCAAACCGGAACCGGTAACAAACAACCGGAACCGGTAACAAAAACGGGCTAAGAGAACCTGGAGAGGCCCGCCCAAGACGGTGCAAGAGGGCCCCGAGTCGCTGAAAGATCACCCCAACACACAAAAGATGGCCTCCAAACGGCCAACGCCCCAAGAGACCCCTCAAGAGGGCGGACCCCAAGACGGCCCAAGAGGCGCCCAAAACAGCCCAAGAGGGCCCCAAGACGGCATCAGAAAGGGGCCCCTGAGAGGGAACACGAACCGAATATCCGAGCTTTCCGCCCGAAGAGGCCCCCAGGAGGCCCCAAGAGGCGCCAAGGAGGCCCCACGAGGCCCTGAAGAGGCCCCGAAGATACCCCAAGAAGCCCGCTAAGAGGCCCAGAAAAGGCCAGATGAGGCCCCCCAATGGCCCCCACAGGCATTCAAAGTGCCTCCGAGAGGCCCCCGAGGGGCCTCCCACGAGATCCCGATGAACGCCCAGTCGGCCTCACACCAACAACCTGGGCACGGTGGCAGGATGGGCCGAAGGCCATTCGATACCATGCAGGGCCATTCGCGCTCATCGGCCGCGCGCGCACGTCGAAAACACTCCAAATTTCGTCTCCGACGCATGGACACCATCATCGTCATCGGCGTGATCCGGATCTGGCACTGTCATTGGCCGTGCCGTCGTTGTTGTCATCATCGTCACCAGCATGACTGCTATCATCGTCCTGCCTGACGTTGTCGATGTTACCATGATGCCGCGCCCCACCGAATTACCGACTCGCGCTGAAGTGCCCGCGTCAGCGCGGCCTGCGAGACGCGCAGGTAAGTCCCCAGCAGTCAGCTCCACCACGGCCGCGTCGGTCGCACCAGACAAGCTGGCCGCTTTGTGTGCGAGCCTGCGCGCGATAGCGCGACCGAAGAGATGCGCCAGCCAGCGTCAAGCAGTCAGTCAGCGCAATCGCCGCCGCATGGGTTTGGCAAACCAAGTTGCGGGTGGATGGCAGGAACGGGATGCTGTATTGCAGCATCGTTGATGCATCTTGGGCTCGGTCTGGTCCCCCTCCTGCCCCCCCTCCCCCTCTCTGCCCCTCCTCCTCATCCTCATCCTCCTCCTCTTCCTCCTCCCGCCGCCTCCTTCCCTCCTTCCTCCTCGTCCCCCTCCTCGCTGACTCCCTCCTCATCCTCCCCCTCCCTCCCTCCCTCCCTCCCTCCCTCCCTCTCCTTCTTCTCCTCGTTCTCCTCCTCCTTCTCCTCCTCCTCCTCCTGCCCCTCCTCCTGCTCCTCCTCCTCCTTCTCCACCTCCTGGTCCCCGCTTCCTCCTCCTGCTCCTCCTCCGCGTCCTCATGCTCCTCCTCCGCCTCCGCGTCCTTTTCCTCTCCCCCTCCTCATCCTTTTCCTCCTCCTCCTCCTCCTCCTCCTCCTCCTCCTCCTCCTCCTCCTCCTCCGCCTCCGCCTCCGCCTCCGCCTCCTCCTCCTCCTCCTCCTCCTCCTCCTCCTCCTCCTCCTCCTCCTCCCAACCTCTCCCTCCGTCCCGCCCGTGCGCAACAAGCGTTCGGACTGGGCGGGCTCCCGCGAGGCCCGCAGGTCGGAGCGGGCGGCGTCCAGTTTGGCCCTCTTCTGGTCGGCCAGCGCCCGGAGGTTGGCGGCCTCCTGGGCGGCCGCCGCTTCCAGCTCGTTCCTGGCAGCGAAGGGGGGAGAGAGGCTCCTCCCTGTTCCCTCCCTCCTCCTCCTCGTCCTCCTCCTCCTCCTCCTCTTTCTCTTTCTCTTTCTCTTTCTCCTCCTCTTTCTCTTTCTCTTTCTCTTCTCCTCCTCTCCTCCTCCTCCTCCTCCTCCTCCTCCTCCTCCTCCTCCTCCTCCTCCTCCTCCTCCTCTCCCACCCTCCTCCTCCTCCCCCCCTCCTCCTCCCCCTTCCCTGCTCCTCCCTGCTCCCCCTCCTCCCTCCTCCCCCTCCCTCCTTTATCCTCCCTCCTCCTCCTCCTCCTCCTCTACCTCCTCCTCCTCCTCCTCTTCCTCCTCCTCCTCCTCCTCCTCCTCCTCCTCCTCCTCTTTCTTTTTCTGTCTCCTCCTCCTCCTTGTCCCCCTGGGCAGGGGGAGGAGGAACGGGGAAGACGCGAGCGTCGGGCCTCGAGATTCGCAAAGGGGTAGCAAAAGGATCTCGGCCAGGGGCGCACCGCGGGCTGCAGGCCAGCGAGCAGGGACGGGGGGGAGCAGGAACACCACCAGGAGCACCAGCAGCCAGCGCAGGAACGGTAGGATCAGGTCGGGCGTGTCCCCTCTGCAGGCCGATTTTGGACGAAAAACAAGACAAACCCCAAACATACTCCCAACATGCTCAAAGATACGGACAAGTAGTCCCCAGACTATGTTGACTATGTTGAAATATTCCTCCTGTAGAGGGACAGGCCCGACGGAGCGACGAGGCTCAGGAGCAGGAGCGCGGGGATGCGGAGCAGCATGGGCTGGACGGGCGCTGGACGATGAGGACGAGGACGATGACGAGCATCCAGACGGCGGACGCGGGGAGAACAGGGAACAGCATGACGAATCAGAGGAAGGAAGAGCAGGCATGAGGAATGAGGAGTGCCGAGGAGGAGAAAATTGGAAGCGTAACGCAAAACGAGAAAACAGGACAAGAACAATGTAATGATATGTGAATCAAATTTACTCCCCAAGAATGTAGGAGGCCGGAAAGGGTTCCCCCCAGAAGCCTCGAGGGGCTTGTGGTCTCATTCCGTGCTCGCCGCTGCAATTGTTATTTCGAACTAGGGCCCTTGGCCTTGGAGCTACGCAGGTCGCTCGAGCCGCGCTCGCTCTCGCCCAAAAGATCCGCGCCGCGCGCGACTCCATATCACAAGGGCAGGTCGGAGCGAGGCCGTTCCGCTATCCCGGAATGCGGCCGTACAGATTGCAAGACGGCGTCTGCGACACGTCTGCCCGAATCGAAGCCCAGCGGCTTCCTCGCGCTGTTGCTCAGCGCCATCAGCCTGGCGTACGCCAGCGTGAGCGAAGCTAGCACCAACGCCTACTCCTTCCACGCCAGTGTCAGCGACGCCAGCATCTACGCCGACCCTGCCAACTCCTACGCCAGCGTCAGCGACGCCAGCACCTACGCCTACCCTGCCAACTCCTGCGCCAGCGTCAGCGACGCCAGCACCTACGTCTCCAACGTCTACTTCCCCCACGTCAGCGTCAGCGACGCAGATATCAACGCCTACTTCCCGTACGGCGGCGTCAGCGACGCCGACATCAGCGCCTACTTCTCTCACGACAGCGTCAGCGACGCCGTCATCAACGACTACTTCGCGTACTTCTCCTACGCTAGCATCAGCGACGCAAGCTCCAAAGTCTACTTCTCCAACGCCATCGTCAGCGACGCAAGCTTCAACGCCTACTTCTCCAACGCCAGCGTCAGCGACGCCAGCATCAAAGCTTACTTCTCCAACGCCAGCGTCAACGACGCCAGCATCAACGCCGATTTCTCCTTCGACGCCAACGTCAGCGACGCCAGCGACTACGCCAACGATTTCTCGTTCGACGCCCGTGTCAGCGACGCGGCTCACTATTTCATTCTCGACAACATGACAGATAACTATGCGTACAGCGTCATCCCTACCTCGAATGACGATCCGTGCAAGTGGAGAGATTACAAGCAGGAGGTGAAGCTCTGGAATATCAGCGAGAACCTCGCCGAGGCGCACAGTCTCGCATCGAAGCTCGTGCTGAAGCTCAGCAAGACAGCCCGAGGTGCAGCGCTAAATCTGACGGAGGCGCAGCTGCATCCAGCAGCCGCGGCGGACATCGAAGACCCCGAGAACAGGAAGCGCAATAGGAACCAGGTCGGCTGGAGGCTAGCTTGGGTCAGCAGAAGCCCGTGCAGATTGGCGAGACCCTCGAGAAGTTCTTCGAGTCGGCTCAACATCGCCGAACATGAGGTGAACGCATGACGGACTGGCTCATCCGTTTCGAGACTGGACTGCAGCAGCTACGCGAGAACGAGGTGGACCTCAACGCGCTGGACGACGTGGTGGGATGGTTCCTGCTGCGCGAGGCTGGGCTCACGGCAGAGCGCCGCGAGCGTGTCGTGGGCGACCTGCCCGACGAGCGCTGCGGCTACCAGCGCGCCCGCGGGCTGCTGATCAGGATGTTCCCGGACACGCATGCGTCGGAGCGTCGCGCCCCCCCGCCGAGGTCATGGGCCACAGCCAGTCGCGCTCGCAAGGCGGCTGGCGCAGCGACGTTTCCTCCAGCCGCGGGGAGCGCTCCACCAACGTCGTCGACGAGCCGGGCGCCGAGAACGACGAAGAGCAAAACGAGGACGACGAAGACGAGGCCGACGTCCAGGACATCGTTCGCCAGAAGCTCGAGGCTTTCAGCGCCGAGCTCGAGTCCTCCAACGTGGACATCTCCAAGCTGTTCGACGGCGACGACTCCTCCAAGGTCGAAACTGCCGCAGCGGGACTTGCCGCTATTCTCGAGGCCATGGCCACCATCAAATCGGCCCGGGAAGCCCTCAAGGGCCGCGGCAAGGCGAAGTCCGCAACGCCCCGCCGCCCGACCAAGCTACAGAGCCGGGTCGACCAACAAAAGAGGAACACTGTTTGCTGGGGCTGCGACGAGACCGGACACTGGACAGGGGACAAGGCGCGCCCCGCGCCAGGCGCTCGCAAGTTCGCGCCCAAGGACGGCAAGTCAAAGGGCGGTGGACGAGGAGGTCGCGGAGGCCGTCCTTAGCGCCAGGCGCGCATCACCGAACAGGTCCAGTTCGCGGACGAGGAGATCGCCCTGCGCCCGCAGGGGCCATTCACGCCGCCCCCAGAGACCTGCGTCTCGGAGCGGCTCATCCACCACCTGCCGAACGTGAACGTCGCGATCGGCAGTGACAAGCCCGTGGACGAAGGCGTCGGCGTGGTCGACGCCGCCTGCCTTTTCTGCGTCTCGGGCAAGAAGTGGTACGATAACTACAAGGACATCCTCACGAGGATGGGGCTTGCCAACCAGATCCTCCAGGAGCCGGAGGACGAGGTCTACAGGTTCGGCAAAGGAGGTGCTCTCCCAAGCGAGCTGCGCGTCACCTCGCCGCTTGTGCTGGGTGGCCAGGCTGGCCGCATCGTGTTCAGCGTCGTGGACAGCCCCACGCTAAGTCTGCTCATTCGCCGCGGCTTCATCCAGCCTTCCAAGATCGGCATGCCTCTCTGGAAGGGCCAGATCCGCATCGGGAACGCCACCCAGAAGCTGACCACGAGCGCCGCGGGCCACCCCGCAATCATGTTGCAGCCAGAGGACTGGCAGGCCATCAGGGGCGCCGGCATGGAGCAACCGCCCAGTGCAGCCAGCTCGTCCGCAAGGAAGCGAGAGCTAGACAAGACTCTATACGTCGAGGTCGAAAAGACGCTCGGCCGACGGGATCGGAAGACGAGGGCGGGCGACCAGCCCACGGTCAACAACGCTACCAGGACCAGCGCGCTGATCGACACCATCAACAACCTCGTCACGAAGAAGAAGCTGAACGTTCCGTGACGTCTACAGACTCGCCGACCGAAGGGGTCGCGGCTGCTTTCGGACGTAGCCTCAGCCCTGGTCTGCTGCTCCACCGCAGCTCCAGCTCCGAACCTTGCGCTAGCGACGCCGCCGCAGACGACCTACCCCACGACGCGCGTGACCGAGCCCCTGCAGGACTGCATCGCCTGCGGCGAGACGACCTTCGAGGCCTGCAGCCACCGAGGGTTATGCTCGGACTGCGTTTCCGGCACGCCTGTGACCCTGAGCCACGGCCAGGGCGCCATCGCCAACGGCTGCCTCGGACCCGAGGCCAGCATCGCGGAGGAGGAGCAGCTACGCGTGATGACGCCCAAGAAGGAGACGAAGCCGCAGCTGATCGCTGGCAAGCGCTCAGTCGTCGTCGCCACTAAGAACGGCATCCTGCCGCGCAAGATCGGCCAGGCCTTGGTCACCAATCTGGCCGAAGTCTACAACCAGATCCAGCCCGACCTCCATGGCGAACAGCACCGTGCTCTACGAGCGATGCTGCAACCCAGACAGCAAGCTCAGCGCCGTCTGGAAGAAGAAAGGAGGAGCTGCTGTCAGGCGAGGTCTTCCAGGCTTCGACCTCTCCAGGCAGTTCGTGGCCCAGAAGCTGCAGGGCAGGGTCCGGAAGCACCCTGCCGCAGGCAAGGGTGTGCGAGTTCACGCTGCGCGCCCTTGCCAGCCGTGGACATCCCTTCAACGACTCGTCGTCAAGATCGACCCGAGCAAGACCCCCGACATAAAAGGGTTCGGGCCAAGTCCAAGCAGATGATCGGCCTGTTCCTGCAATCAATGTCACAGCTGCGCAAGGAGCTCGGCGCCCAGCTCGCCGCGTCGTTCGAGTGGCCGAGGTAATGCGACGGATGGGGCCCCAACAAGAGCGCCATTGCCAAGCAACTGAAGGAGCAGCTCCCGCGCGTCGTGGACTTCGACGGCTGCGCGTTCAAACTCAAGACAAAGAATGGGATCCACATCAAGAAGCCGTGGCGGATCATCACTGACCATTTCGGGTTCGACGACTCGCTCAGGCGCTTCTGCAGCGGGGGCCACCCACGCGCAGAGGCCCGCTGGAAGGGCGCGAAACGCAGCGATAACTACACGACCAAGCTCGCGACGGCGCTAGCCGAGCAGCTGCGACGTCCGAGCCGCCGACCT